CATCACGGCATTCTGCCAGCACACTCCCTCCCTCTTTGCTGGGATGCAGAAGGTTAGGGGCATTGCTGGGACAGAAAGGCCCGGATGGGAAAGCTCCTGCCTGGGAGCTCTTTGAGATATCTGGGGTGAGGGGAAGGCATTCACATAGGGCCCAGTCTCACCGAGCACGTCTATCTGCTGCAGGATACGGCCAGCAAAGAACTGTGTGCCAGCCGTCATGGAACTTTCTCCTCAGTGTTATTTCTTGGGGTGGGATGAGTAAAGGATACAGAAGGGGTCTGAATCTGGCACCGGCTCTGTGGCTCTGCCTCAGAATCACTGAGCTAATTGCGCAGGGAGCATTGCTGCAGCCGGAGACTCTCTTTTCTGAGCCTGTGCTTGGCTCGCCTCCTTTGTAGGTGAAGTAATTTTCTTTACCTCAAATCCTTCCTGGCATGGATGGAGTATAAACATAAGTCAGGGTTAGCTCTGGGAGGGCAGGGCTGAGAGTATCCTGCTTCCCCAGAACTTAGTGAGTAGTTGGTCCAGGGTTTGGAAACACTGTTCACAGGCCCAGGCAAATGCCTTCTGGCCAGTGGCCACGCTCCAGCACGCACCTGTGATTACCATTGCAAATGGACAGACTGGTGGCCTGATTGAACTGGTAGGGCTCAGAGTCCTTGTTAGGGATTGGGCTTTGAGCCCACAAGTGCCCTTGAGGAGGGAGGGCAGCCCTACCTGCAGTCAGGAAGCCCGGCTTCCCTGCATCACCCAGACCCCAGGAGGCCAAGAGCTCTGTGCTCCTTTGAGCCCCAGGGCAGTCTGGCCTGAACCAGCTGGATTCCAGAGGCCTACACACTTCCCGCTCTTGCTTAAACCTCTGTGTAGGTGCCAGCTGTATGTATCTGTTGAGGCGAGAGGGTGCAGGGGCCCCATGTGTAGCTTGGAGCCCTGAACACGGTGTTCATTTCTGCGGTCGTGGTCAGTGGAGCAGCTCTCCCAGGTGTAGGGAACATTTTTCCAGGCTTAGATCAACTTCTGCATCACTGATCTCCACCCCAGCACCACATTAACTCAGGAAGTTATCCTGGGCTGCGGGTGGAGGAGGAGGCCAGCTAGTGCTGGGCACTGACTGAGAAACTGAGCCTGTCTTCGAGGGATGGAGACATCGGTGTCTTGCTGACTCTAAGCACAAATAGCAAACTGGTTGCCCTTTCTCAGCAGCCAGTACCGGCCCAGGACACGGAACCCCTTGGGCTTAAGGTCTCCTCTGAGTGACCTTCCCGTGCTGTCAGCACAGATGCAAGCCCTCAGGAAGTCTAGCCTCCTCGGGCTGGCCGAGTAGGAGAGGGAAGGCCCCAGGGTCTCAGGCTGCCAAGCAGGACGAACAAGACAGCACGGATGCAGTTCGGCGTGACCGAGTAAACAGTGCGAGGCCAGGGACAGGGAGGAAGGTCACACTTCTCACCCAGGAGCTCTAGGGCAGCCCCTGCTGTCCTCAACTTGTCCTCTTTGGAGTAACCCCATTCACTGCATGGCAGCAGTCAAGTCCAAAGTCCCACCCAAGAGAGAAACCACATGACCTCAGCTTATATAATCTCCCTGTCACTGAACAGCTGGAACCCAAGGCTTTGGGAGATGAGTCAGCAGCCCCAATGGCAAATAGGAACCAGGGACTCTAGGTTCCCAGACCTTTTGCTCCCAGCAGCAGGCCCGAGAGCATAGGGCAAGGGTGTAGAAGAGAAGGCGCGGGGAGAATAGGCTGGGCCAGGCTCTGAGCCTCAGGCCCTGGCTCTGCATCGGAACAGCAGGTGCCCGGCCTGGTGACTGTGCTCTGAGGGCCCTGGGCAAGCCCCAGCTCTTCTGGGAGGGGAGGGAAGGGGTATAGCCTGGGCAGGGCTGGGCAGGGCTGACCAGGCAGAATGCCAGGGCTGGGGAGGGAGCACGTGGAGGGGGTGGTGCGGAGGAGGATTAGGATGGATTGTAGGGTTAAAGCGCAGCCCTGGCAGGGCTCCAGTGGGAACAGCTTGTCCTTCCATAGGCCCAGGGAACAGGAGAAGTGGGGCGGAGGGGGGACGTGACCAGGTGGGGTGTCTGCGCTTCTGCCTTTCTGCAGGGCCAACCCACCTGGCCTGGCTTGGAGTCCCCACCATGGGTAGTGAAAGCATTTTTTTTTTTAACCATTTCTGAACCACTGTGTCTCTCCAATTTGTCTGCATTTTAAACAGAAGGTCAAGCATGGGGCAGCCCTCATTATGCTAGGCTGAGCTGCACCCGTGAGGACTGGCATTTTGTTGGTGCTTATGCAAGCATGGGGGGTTATTCAGAATATTCCGCACTCCACCAGTTCTTTATTGCTGCTCAGCTGAACCTGTAATATTCCCAGCTCACGTCGGCTGTTACTATACTGAAGGGAGTGATTCTGGTTAGAACTGTTCTACTCCCTGGTTGGGGACTGCTTTTGACCTTCCTTTATGAATGTCAACTGGAGTTTAAGTCAGCTACCCTGAGAGTCCCCAGGGCCAAGACGCCCCGAGGACCTCAGGGAGTCACATCACAGGATGTACTTTCCCACCTTTGCTGCTCCCAAGGGCGGCCCCTTCCCCATGCTAGTCAGCTGCCAAGTGCCCCCTTTCTATCATTCCCTTTTCCCTCCTGAATTTTAAACCAACGCTTCCATAGGATTTTACTGGTTTCGGATTCCTCCACATCCATTATTTGCTTTGAGCCTGAGGTCATCCCTGTGAGGTAGGCAGGGTGGGCGTGGCCATTTCCTTTTATGGATAAGGAAACAGCTCAGATGAGAGGTGTCCAAAGAGGCAAACTGTTCCTTCCAGCTGTCACAGCGGCCCGCCCCAGCCTCAGGTGACCTCTCCCTTCCTACCACCTACGACTCTTACAAACACCTAGAGCTGCCTCCTACTGCAACTGTTCTAAGAACTAATTTCCCTAAGTTAGTTGTGAATGTGCCGAGGGTAGGGACCATGGCTCCCGCGTCTCTTGCCTCCCAGAGCTCCTGGAAGGGTGCAAGGGGGATCAACATCTATTGAGCACCTCTACGCGCCAGACCGCTTTCACGTGCAACCTCTGACCCCTCACAGTAATCTCTGGGGCGGGAACTAGGATCCTCTGGCTGTACAGAGGAAGCAGGGCTAGAAGTTACGGAACTTCTCTGAGGTCACACTGCTCGTAAGCTGAGCAGTCTAAGTGAATGAATGAGAAGGTAAGATCCCCAGAGGGAGATCCGAAAAGAAACTGGACCTGCTTTTAGAAAGAAGTGGTCCAGGCCCCGTGAGCAGAGCTGTTTTCACCTCAGTAAGGTGCAGTCGACGCCAGGAAGTGAGGATGAAGTGCTGAGGGGAGGGGGCGAGGTTCAAGCAGGGTCTTGCACCACTGGCCCATAAGGGGCCTTTCCCAGTTGGCAGTACCTTCTTGAGCGCCAGCTCGGGGTGTAACCCTAGCTCACCTGTAGGGCATTACTGGCTACTTAAGTGTATTGTGAGTTGTTGCTGGATGGGAAGGAGGGACGCTAGGCTAGCTGAGTGTCCCAGGGCACTCTGCCACTCCTTGGAGGTCCTTTCCTCAAAACCCCCTCACCCTGGCCCAGGGGGTGGAGGGGGGGCCGGGATGTCCACTGTGGGAGGGGTGGAGGGCGGCAGACTCCAGGGAGGTTTGGGATGTACTTGTGGGGGGAAGGAGGCGGGGTCACAGTGGTCTGTCCCCCAGTGGGGGAGGACACCCTGCTGTCTCATGATGGGGCTGAGGATGGGTCTGTAGTTTAGTCTGTGGAGAGGAGATGTTTAGACCTCAGCACGCTCAAAGATTCCCTGAAGAGCTTGCGAAAAGGGCAGATTCCCGGGCACTGTACCCAGGGACTTTGATTCAGGGGATCTGGGTGGGGCCCAGAGGCCTGGATTGTTAAGCCTTGCAGGTGATTCTGTGGTAGGCAGTCTGCAGATCCCACTGCCAGGAGCACAGCCTGCCAGAAGGAGCCCTCCTCTCCGGAGCTCCTCAGGAGCCTCTAGCGTCCTAGCGCTTCCACCGAGAGCTACTTTCTGCCTGCCCCGAGTTGAGCAACAGCAGACGTGTCCAATTGAATCATGTGCCCACCCAAGGCCAGGTCCCTCTGGGGGCACCTCTCTCCCCGGCTGGCTCTGTCATCTCCCCTCCAGTGCAGCCAACCCTGCCCTGTCAGGCTCTGAATGCTCTGGGAGGTACCCAGCTTGGCATCCCCCATGCCACTTCCCAGCTGGCACAGCAAGGCCAATACTCTCTAGGCAATGTGATCAAAGTTGTCCTCTCCAGACCTTTAGTTATGACAAGGTTCAAAGCCCCGCCCCTATCCTGCTCCCCTGCTCCACTGGTTCTGGACAAGCCCCCCGGGCAGTATTACTTGCTGTGGCACAGCTATTGTTTCCAAAAGGTACATGTCCTAGAAGTAGGGGCAGGGTACATAAGGTAATGAAGGAGACCCAACACCCAACTCTCCTGCCCCTATGCTTGCCTGTCCATCTGTCTGTCCATCCACCTACCCATCCATCCATTTGTACAGTCAGCTGAGTCCTGTGCTGTACTAGGCACATGGTCAAGGACCTAGAGATGTGAGTTCTTGCTCATCCTCCAAGAGCTTGCCCCCAATGGGCACACTAATAACCACAGAAAAGGCAGACTTGTCAGCACCGCAGGAGAGGTGCGTCTCAGGATCCGATGTGAGCCGGGCTGCACCAGCCCTAAGTCAGTGTCTAGCAGAGCCTCCCTCCTCATTTCAGCCCAGGAAGGCCTGGAATATAGAGGTACTGGATTGTCTAAAGCCCTATACACAAATTTCTCCACCATTTTCTCTAAAGACACATGAGAAGTACTGTTGTCTAGACACCCTGGTCCTGAGTCAGCCAGTGTCAGAGAGAGTCCCTCTCCCCCTGGGGTCTTATGCCCACATAGTATCTGGGTCTCCAGGCTGGAAAGTAAGTGCTGGAGCAGGAGGACAGGTGTGGCCAGAGTAGGGGGGAGGCCTGTCTTACCACAGGGAACACCGGTGCTCTGGGGGCCTCCGCATTCAGTCCAGGGTGGGGCAGGGCCTGCAGGGAACCATGGCATGCTGGGTGGAAAAGTAGAGGGTGAGAATCGCAGTGTGTGTAGGGGTAGCTGAGCATTTCCGAGGACACTGCTGGACCATTGCCGAGGGCACAGGTGATGAAGTGGGTTTCCTAGGGAGAGTGGGAAAGCCCCTGAGCAAGGCCCTGAGCCACCAGGGTGCAGACATGCTGAGATGCCTTCTCTGGCTTGTCCCCACTTGGGGTGCAGGAGCAGCCGCCGTGAGGTTTGGGAAGAAAACCTCTGCCTCCAGTCAGCTGGGAGTCTTTTCCTCAACCCAGCTCTTCTACATCAGTGGCTTCCTCCCAGCCCATCACTTGTCCCCAGTGGGCAACTCACCATGGTGTCTCGCCCTGAATCGCTGGAGCGGCTGGACCCAGAGGCCTGGCTCTGGCTCTTCTCCCACGGGCTGTAATGGCCACTCGGTCGGTAGGTGGGGCTGAGGACTTCAGGGACTCGTGACGGGGGGGCCTGGCCGGGCCCATGGGGTGTGCTGCCCTTGTGACTATAGTTCTCCAGGTAGTTGGTCAGGTGCCCTGAGTGGCTGGTGCCCTGGTAGAGGCTCTGCAGGGTACATAGCTCCTTATGTGTGTTGGCCAGCATGGGGCTGCAGCCCACGTTCCCGGGGTCTATCCAGTAGCTGTCTGAGGTATGGAGGCTGGAGAAATCCCGGGCCAGGTCTGATTGGCTGTTTGACTTCTTTTGGGTCAGGGTTATCCTGTGGTCCCGGGCATTGATGGGCAGGTAGCCAAGGGAGTTGCTGGTCACTCCGTAAGGGAAACCGCCACCCCCACTGAGTCCACTGCCTGAAGGCCGCTCAGTGCCCCGAGGCTGGCTCTCTGCCCGCCTTCCACCCCCGATGATGTCAGGTCTCAGCAGGGGGCGGCCCCGGTCATAGTCCAGGATGGAGGAAGGGCCATAGGCACGGGGGCGGGTGAGGAGGCTGGTGGGGGGACCCGGCTTGAAACCAAGCCTCTCCTTCTCCAGGAAGGAGGCAGACGGGTTAGCCCCATAGGAGGAGGAAATGTAGGTGCCATAGCCTGACTTGGCGTAAGGGGCATCTGTGTAGCGGGCTGATTCTGTGTAGCGCTTCAGGGTGGAGGAGAGCTGGGACATCCTTCAGGGCGGCACTCAGTGGGGACTGGGAGCCTCATGGGCTGCAAGACAAGGAAAGCAGATATTAAAGGACCCTGTAGGTGTCACACTCCCACTGTCTCTGCTCTCTGTCCCTAGCTGGCCAGAACCTTAGATCCCAGCCAGGGACTACACACACAATCCATTTCCACCAGACGCTGGCCCACTGCCAAGGAACACACCTACACATGTCTGTATTCACACATGCACGTAGGACAGCAGGTAGGTTTGCACACACCTATGCATTTTACACCTGTGAAGGTGCAAGAGTTAACCTGGCTTTTATAAACCACACAGGTAATCGGTCTTGGCACGGCCTGGCCACTCTGAAGGGTGCACCCCTCAAAGACCCATACGTGAGAGCAGGGACTGCCCTGTCTCTGCAGCCCCCCTGGTGATGCCAAGTATTCCAGCTATATCCCACCTGCTTCATCTCCTCAGCTTCTGCAGAAACTCCTGAGGGGAGGGGAAGGGAGGGGATGCACCCCCCATCCTACCCCCTGGGCTGACAAGGCGGGTTATTTCAAGGGTTCAGACTGCTTCCCTCCCTTCCGACCTAAGGTATGAGCAGGCATCTTTTAGGAATCCTACACTGTCTGAGCTGCAGGGACCTGAGTGAGGATCATTTGGTCAGATCCCTGGTGAGGAAAAGGAGGCTTGTGAGAGGAAGTGATGGAGGCGGGTGGGAGGCTGTGGTGATCAAGCTTGTGGCAGAGAGGGGGTTGGACCTTGGTCTCCCCAGAGTTCTTCCCTGCACAGGGTCATTTGCTGCAGTGGGGGATCCTACTCTGCTAGAACGCACCCTCTTCGCCGATCTCAGTCTCCTGTTCTAAGTGAAGTTACAGTCCCGTGGCCTCCCAGAGGTTCCCCTACCAACATCCACGCCAGCCTGCTCGTGGTGAGAATGACTTTTGCAGAGGGGGCCACCTGGAGGCTAAAATCCTGTGCCACAGGCAGCTCTCCCTGCTCCCACACGAGTCCTTAAAGCCCGGGTGGGTCTGGTGAGGGAACACAGAATCATTGAATTAAGGAGTTTGTAGGGCCCTCTGGGTCATCCATCTAAACATCTCTGTCCTACAGATGGGAAAAGCGGTGCCAATTTGCCCAAGGTCACACACTAGCAGAGTCAGGATTAGAATCCAGGTCTTCCAGATTTCTGCTTTACTTTGTATTCACCCTCCCCCATCAAATTTAGACTCACTTGGGGGCCCCCTAAATCCCTCCATCGCTCAAACATGCAGGCTTTATCTACAATGGAGCTGGAAGGCACAGGTGCTTTGCAGAGAGGAGCAAAATAGGGTCAGGCCCTCTTCTCTGAGGGCCACCTGGGGCTCTTAGGGGCGGAGGGTGGGGAGAGCCATCAGGGCTCTCAGTATACTGTGTGCAGGAGCTGGTGTGGATTTGCCCTTTGATTAGCTGGTGATTTTGCACTAGCCATTTAGCATCTCTGAGCCCCAATTTCCTCACCTGTAAAGTGAGTCTAATAATCATCACTGTGATTCCTACCCACAGGGTGGTGGCCAGGAATAAATGAGCTAATAGCATGTGAAGCCCTGAACAGGTTATTATCCCCACCCCCAGCCCCTGCTAGGCAGCTGGGTTCCTCTCTTTGTAGGCCTATAATAATGTCAAGGCTGGCCGTCTCCTGGCCTGGCCAGCCTCTGACCTCAGCCCCGGGTACCAGGCTTTCCAGTGCAGCTCACAGTGAGATGAGCAGATGAATGGGCAGTGGGCAGAATTGAGCTGCTCAGCAGACACGGGCTTGGGCAGCCCACAGCCTGCCCTAGGCCGGCAGCCCAGCCCATTAAGGCAGAGAGGAGCTGGTTCCGAGCCCCAACTGCTGAAAGCTTGGCAGAGGGCTCTAGAAACTCAGTTCATGCAAAGCATGGGATAGGTGCAAGGAGTAGGAGACAGCGGGTGGCGACTTCCCTATCAGACCCGGAACAGAATGGCTGGACCCTGCCGGAGACCTCCAGCAGTTTTTGGTTCAGGCCGGCATCAGAAAGGCCTGGTCTGCGGTTACTCTGCCCTTTTCCCACCTGGTCCAGGGACCCTGTACCTCCCTATACACTCCTTTGCCTACGGTGCTTCTACCCTCAGCCCAACTTTCACCCCTTTCTAGGAGATGGAACTGGAGGAAGGCCTCATGCAGATTAGGGGGAAACCCCAAGCTTTCCTGCCATCCTCTTAGCTTTCTGGGGTGCAGAGAGGAAGAGAACGAAGGCTGAGGCAGTCCAGGGACAGACATAGACAGAGGCACCCGAGGGGGCTTGGGACCAGTCCTGCTCTATTTCACATTGGAGAACTCCATCAGTAATGCAGTCAGAGACTCCAGGTCTCAGGATCTGGGCTCTGGGATGCCTCGCAGCCAATCAGAGATGACCCCTGCCCCCAACCAGGTCATGAGCTCCTGCCATCTCCCCAAGCCCTCCCCCTCCCCCACACCAAGGCTCCCAGGGAATTGGTATTCTGCAGGCAGTGCCCCGTGCTCCTGACCTCTCTTGGCCCTGCTGATGACACAGAAGTGCTGGGACCAAACAAGGTACAGCAGACAGGGATAGGCAGGACCACCCACAAGTAGCCTGGGAAGGGCTGGGGCTGGATGCAGGTGGAGGCACACGTTCTAGCCCAGGATCCCCAGAGGGCTCCTAAATCCCACTCTCCCACCTTCTCCAGTGCGGCAGGCAACTGATAGACCCCCCCTTGGGGACCACGCCATAACTAACAGCCCCCTGGAAGCTGCCTCTCAGCACTGACATCTGGCTTATAGTTCCTTTCCGGGGAGAGGGTCCCTACTGGGGCCGAGGCCTGAACATGCCTATCCTTTCCCCCAGATCCCAGTTTCACTCTTGAGAAAGGTGCCAGTAGCTTCCAGGTGAGCAGACAGCTTGGGTTGGTGTCCTTTGGCATTACCTGGCACGGCTGTCCCTGGAGGCTGCAGAAAGCACGGCAGGTGGGAGCATGGCCGGGCCCTGGCCACAGCCTTGCTGGGCAAGATGGGGACAGGACAGGCACTCACATGGCTGCGAGTCTCCCTGTTGCCACAGGAACAGCCTGAACTGAATGGCCCTTTCACGGGACAGTGGAAGGCCAGCCGATTGGCTGGGATCCCCTGTCTCCCTCCCTGCCCGGTGTGGGGCCCCTGCTGCCCAACTCCTTTCACTGTTTCCCCGGAGCTGGCAAGTACAGGCATGTGGCTCCAGGACAGCGGGGGCACTCCGCCTGCCAAGCTCCTCCTCCATGCCATCTTAGCATGGGCACCTCCCCTCCCCTCCCCCTCACTTTGCTCAGTTTCCCCTCTGGGAGGTGCAGCTGCATTCCACTGCACAGAGCACCAGCTTCCTGAAGGAACAAGTCAGCCAGACCGCTGTCATCCAGGCCGGCAGGTGTCAAGCACCTGTGGGCTGGGCATGGTGCTGAGGGCCTCACATGCAGCTTCTTGCTCAGCCTTGACCCTGACACACAGCCCTCACTGCGTGCCTACTGGCCCTCTAAGTGCAATTCACATGTGGTGTGTTGAGCGTCTTAGCGCAGTGTTAAGCGTTAATTCTTTCGGAAGAACAAATCCCTCAAATTCACGAACATTGTTTGACGGTTTAATTATTTACAGTTGATTGAAATTAATACTTAATTTAAAACTTAAAAAATAGACAGGAATTAAATAATGAAACTTTTAAATGAAGCATTTAGCATGCGCATTTTTGAAGTTATTAACACTTAAAACACCACTGTATGAATTCACTTAATCCTCGCAGTTGCCCTAAGCAGTTGCTATTATTATGCTCATTTGCAGAGGAGGAAATGTGGAAGGCATGTGGATTTCCCAAGGTCATACTGGGATCAGTGCAGAGCTCGAGGGGGACCTGAGCTCTGTCTGCTAACAGCCACCCTGCAGCCAGCCCCCCACTTCACATTTCCCTGGCCTCTCCTGGAGCTGGCACAGCACCAGGGGACATGGAGCAGGGACCCTGGCGTCCACTGTCTAGGCAACAGGATGGCAGTGCCGACTCCCACAGGAGCGGCCTTTCTGACTTTCCACTGCAGGCTAATGAAAGTGAAGCCAGGCGCAACCTGAGCCCCAGTGCAACACTGATCAGCCTTGAGGTGGTCCAGGAGGCCTCCATTCCACTCGTGGGGCCAAGCTCCTGTGTGTGCCCTGGCACCAGCATCCAGCCACAGTCAGGTTCTTGGCTCAAGGCCTGGTTATGGACATGGCCCCCAGCTCCCTATCCTCGCTGCAGCTTGGCCCACTCCCAGGGTACCTGGCTAGGTGAGTCAGGGGCTCACCTGTGTCCCCCTGTGGCAGTCAGCCTCCTTGAGTCAGCCACTGTCATTTCCTGTTGCTCACGTGAAGGGCTTCCTAACCAGCCCAGTCAGGGGAGGGACTTGCTCCCCAGGAATCCTGGGCACTCCTGACCCTCAGGGGACAGGATGGGTAATGTTCCCCAACCCAAAAGTCTTCATGGCACCTCTGTGCCCAGATATGCTCTGCTTTGTAGGGTGAAGGCATGACAGCTTCTGTGGCCTTGCCACTGCATGGATAGAGGCCCCTAGGTGGGTTTCAGTGGTACGTCTCAGAGAGCTCAGTCCCTTGCCCCCTGCCCAGGTGTCCAGCACAGGTGAATGGGGAGTCACGGGCAGTCCCACCAGGTGCTTTGGAACCTCCACAGTGGTGACCTCAAAGCTTCCCGAAGCCACTGGCTAACAACATCGGAATGAGGCACAGCCTCTGTGCTGACCTTGAAGGGTAAAGTGGGCTGAAGAGGGCCCTGTCTCCCTTCATCTACCCTCTCCAATCCTGACTCCTAGCTGCATGGGCACTGTCTGGGGCAGCTTCTGAGTTGAGGGGTGTCCTGGCAGGTGCGGAGGGCACAGGTAGAGTGGAGGACTGGGGTTGGGGATCCCATCTGTGGTTGCCTAGTCCAGGCCCCCAGGAGTCGCAGCCACCTCCTCCCCTCCAGCTTGTTACTAGCTGCTTTGTCTCTCAGGGGCTGGCACCCAGGGACGCACTAGTTTAGTACCTAATCCTCTTGCATGTCTTGACAAGGAATCACCCAAGGGAATTTGGGTCCTTGGTCTCTCTCACTCCCAGCCATTGCCCAACAGCTGAGAGAGGGGCAGAGAGGTCAGAGAGAGAGAGGGGAATACAGGAAAAAGTCCTGAGTGGTAGAGAAGTGGCTGGGTTCCGGGTGCTCCATGGGTGCTTCTTGATTTGAGGCTGGGAGGGGGTAGGCATCTCTACACTTCCAAGAAAAGGCCAAGAAATGGGCTAGGCAGCACTGTGTCCTTAAATTCTCTTTTCTAACCACCTCTGTCCAGACATTGTCCTGGTGCTTCCTCCCCAGGGGACAGTCCCAGTCTCCCTCCCTCCCAGGGCTCCGTGTTTTCTCTGTCCTTGGCCTCCCACCCTTTAGGGTTGCCCACAGTACCCACCGGCCCCAGTGGGCCCAGCCTCTCCCATGCTCCTCCAAACAGGGCTCTCCCAAGCAGATAGCCCAGCGCCCTCTGGACAGCGGCCCTGTGAAGCTCAGAGACTGAAGGGGCAGTTACTGACCTGTGTCTGGGGCACTGCACGGGGTCTGGGGGCTTCTCCTTCTCCAGCAAGGCAGGGAGTGCAGTGGAGAGCCCAGAGGCTGGAGTCTGAGTGGGGCTGGATAATCCGGAGCTCAGGTTACTGCCTCCGATATATATAGTATCTTATCTGACCTCACAGAGATGGCCAGCCCGACTCACTTGCATTCCAAGCCCGGGGAGAATTAAAGGGGCCCTGGCAGGCCCTCCTTCGAGGTGCTGCTCTGATTGGTGAGGGCCAGGCAAGGAGACTATATGAGGACTCTCTGAAGGGGGACATTTTGAAGTGGCACAGAGGGGGGATTCAAGGGGCAACAACACTGGAGAGAGGGTAGAGGGATTGAGGCAAAAATATGGAGAAAAGAGGTGTCAGTCACAGAACTAGAGCCTCCTGCGAGGCCAAGGCCTTTACTTTTGATACCGAGAGAGATTTAGAGACAGACAACAGCTCCCTCTGGGGTGCACAGAGAGTGAGAGGCAGGTGGGACCAGCTCTCAGGTTTTCAGTCCAAACTCTTACCATGGACTTCTGGGCCTGTGCTTGGATTCCAGGTCTTTCGCTTTTATTGGCTCTGAGACAATGGGCAAGCCACTTAAGCTGCCTGAACCTGAGTTGTTTACTCTGTAAAACAGGAATAAAAATTGTAATAATGATAATGCTGTACCTCACACTTGTGAGGATTAAATAAAATAATATCTGTAAATTTCCTGGCCCAGGGTAAGAGTTCAGCGAATCATGATGATTATACAGATCCTTCCACTTAGTGTAATTAGTGGTGGTATCTGCAGTAGCTCCTACCAGGGGAACCTTCCTAGGCAGAAAAGGGCTTCCAGGCTGCCTCTCACAAGTGCTATCCTAATGCCAGAGCGCAGCCCCGTGGTTTTCTGAGCTGGTCTGTGCCCCGTAACTGGCTACGAGACTTGCTATATTCCCAGATGTCCAGTCCGTCCATCAGAGAAGGACCCGGCCCATATGGGCTCCTTCCCCCTTTGCCCAGAAAAAAAAAAAAAAAGCGGCAAATACAGCTTTTCCCAGATTCCCCGAGGAAAGCCGCTCTGGGGTGGGTCCACTCTACCTGTCGGAGTGCTCAGGGGTCCAAGGCCACAGAGCCGGGCTGGGCAGGGTCACAGGAGGAAGGAGCAGGGTTCTTAACCTCTCGGGCCTTGGTGCTCCTGTCTGTGTCCACTCTGCCGCTCCTGTCTCTTGTCGGCTCTCCCTGAGGACTGGGAGTCCCCAGGAAGCTGCCTCCACCCTGTCTCAGCAGGGCTACTGACTCAGCTCAGGTCCTGATGATAAACTTGGGAGGACGCCCTTGTCCTCAGCCCTCCCCATTCCAGCCCTCATTCTCACTCCAGTTTGGCATGCGCCTACCGCATCAAAGGAGCGGGGATGCCCAAGCCCCAGGCCAACCAGCTCTCCTTCCTGCACTTTACCCAGCTGTCAGTCGGGTTTGGGGGACCTTCTCATGCCCGTGCTGGGGAGGTGAGCATCGCCACGATCTCCAAGTCAGCCCCATTCTAAAAGCAGCCAGAGCACAGGAGGTAGGGGTTCACTCCTGGGAGGACAGCTAGCACGGGTTGGCCAGAGCTTCCCTAGGCTGTCAAGGGTAAGTTACTCGCCCCGGAGCACCCCGTGCCTGCTTCTGGTCTGGGACTGGTGAGAATGTCAAAGCTGCCTCTTTCTAGTTGTGGATGGGTGGAAATGCTGCCCTTCTGCTTAACTGCTGCCCTTCCTCCACGCCCACTCCGTTTGGCAAACTGACCAGAGACAGCCCCCCCGGGAGCTTTAACAGAGGGAGTGAGCTGGGTGCACACATGGGGAGGGGCTGTCAAGTGTCTCCGCATCACTTTCAGGCCACATGCCACAAGGTCCAGAGATCTGGACCTGCCAAAGCAGCCTGTCCTTAGAACACACTGATCAGCACACAGATGGCCCTCCTGGCACCCCGGGCTGTCAGCTGGCAGGCCCCGCCACACACACAACTGGCAGTCACAGCTGGAGTTGCTCCGCGCTGCTGGCATCAGCCCTACATTCTAGTGCCCATTCTGCCCAGGCTGGCATTGACACCTCACTTCCTGAGCCCCAAATGGCACTGACCCCCGCATCCCCCTCCCGGGTCCCCGACAGGTGGCACGTACCTGCCTCTTTGAGGATGGACGAGTCGAACCGGGCACAAGCATGGAGCTGCGGGGGAGTCCGGCCGGGTGGTGGCGCGGCGCGGTGAGCAGCGGCTGACGCAGAGGGCTCCCTGGCCTCGGCTCCTGCCCGCCTCTCCCCAACCTCTGCCCGGGGCCCAGAGAGAACCTCCCCGGGAAAGCGGCGCCACCCAGCGGACAGCCGCATCCCGCGCCTCGCATCGCTGAGACTCTCACGGCTCCTGGCTTGTTCTTATTGTGGCGTCATCAGAGCCCCGCCCCGCTAGGGTCTCCCAGGCGACCGATATAAACAGAGAGGCACGTGGAGGATCAGCACCCGAGTTTGGAGGGGGTGGAGCACGAAAAGAAGCGCACCTGAATGTGGCACGTTGGGGCAGCGGGAAGGTATTGAGTTAGAGGAGGGGTCATGGCAGGGAAGGCCCAGAATTTGACCCCCAGGACATATATCAACGTTCAATTTTTAGGAAAGGCTAAATGTACCCACACCTTCTCTGCTGTTCTCGGCTGGGAGAGGCCTGCTCTGCTGCTTCTCCTTTTCTTTACTCTTAAAGACACTCTCTGCTCATTTTGCTAACATGAGGTCTGGATTGGTGATGACTTCTTGAGCGGGAAAACAGAGGCACTGAATCAGTGGGAGGGATTCTCTTTGGTCATTCAAGAAAAAACCGAGATAAAACTTGGATTTTTGCCGCTCCCATTCTTTGCCTAGAACCTTTCCTCCCCTGAGGTCGGTGAGGAAAACCACACAGCCAGAAAGATGGGTGCTAAGGCGAACCCAGGTTTTCAGTTTCCTCCCAAGCGTCTGCAGCTCCTCCCATTCTGCACCACTGGCATTTCTGTCCTGCGCAGCCCTCAAGTTCTTCCCGTCTTCTGTTTACCAGAGAAACTAGAGGCACTCAGAAGGGAACTTAACATTTCTGCCTACAAACGTATCAGAGTCCATTCTTCTGCTTCAGGAGCGGTGACAGAGGTGTCCCTCTTCTTGTCCAAGATGAATCCCTTCTAATCTCAACCCTTTATGTCTCCTTAGGGTCCTCATTCCCTCACATTTAATGGATAGCTATTGGATGTGCCAGGTACTCTCTGGGCCCTGGGGACACAGCAGTGAACAAAACAGGGAAGATCCCTGCTTTCAAGGTGCTTACAAATATTCTTAGTAGAAGCAGAAGACACTCACCAAATAAGTAAAATATTTAGTATTTAGATGGCCATTTGAGCTGTGGAGGCAAGGACGGTGGGGGAGGGGGATACAGAGGGTGTAAGGTGGTGTCAGAGCTGGCCTCAGGGAGAAGGCGACTTTGGAGTGACATGAAAGAGGTGAGGGAGTGAGCCATGTGAATATCTGGGGAAAGAATGTTCTCAGCAGAGGGAACAGTAATTGTGAAGGTCCAGAGATGGGAGTGCCCTTGCCATTTCTGAGGAAGGACGAGAAGGTTAGTGTGGTTGGAATGAAGAGAGAGAGCAGAAGAAAAGACCAGAGAGATAAGGGGGAGACCACATCTTATAGTCACTTTGGTGACTAACTTTTACTCTGAGATGGGAACCATTGGAAGATTTTAAGCAGAGGAGGAAAGTGATGGCCCTGACCTTTGTTGTAACGGAATCCTTTTGGCTACTGTATGGAGAGCAGGTCTGAAGAGAGCTGCAGTAGGAGCAGGAGACCATTTGGAGGCCGTTGGAATCATCTGGTGAGAAATAACGGTGGCTCGGGGTGGTGTGGCAGCAGGAAAACTGGTTGGATTCTGGATGTATTTTGAAGGTAGAGCCGCCAGAGTCTTCCAATAGGTTAGGTAGTATGAGAGAAAGGAGGAGTTTTTGCCTTGAACATTGGCTGAGACGATGTAGGCTGTGGAACGAGCAGATTTTGGGACGGGGAATGGCCAGGAGCTTTGTTGGATACATATCAACTTTGAGATGTCTGTTCAGTAAGCACGTCATGATGTCAAGGAAGCAGTTGGATGTACGAGTTTGGCAAGGTCTAGGTTGGAGATATAAAACAGTTATCACATATGGATGTTATTTAAAGCCATGAGATTGGAGGAGATCACCAAGGAAGTAAGTTGAAGTGGAAAAGATGTGCTTGGGCTGAATCCTGGAGCTGCCCAAGATGACATGATTTTAGAAATGAGGAACCATCAGAGACAGTCGATGGCCAGTGAAGTAGCAGGAAAAAGTCCAGGAGATGGCGGTATACTGTCAGCCAAGGGCAGGAGGCCTGCCAAGGCAGAGAAAGAACAGTTGTGTCAAGTGCTGTGTATGGGTTAAGTATGGGGATCTGAGAATCGACCTAGAAGGTAGTTGGTGACCTTGACGAGGCTGTGGTGGAGTGGTGGGGGGAAGGTCTGACTGTGGATGAGTCCAAGAAAAAATGGGAAGAGGGGGATGGACAAAGTACAGACAGCTCTTTGGAGGAGTTTTACGGGGAAAGGAAGGAAAGAGGTTGGGTGGGAGCTAAGAAAAGTGAGGTCAAGAAATATTTTTAAATGGGAAAAAATAACTAAGTATGCTGATGAGAAATAGCCAGTAGAGAGTGAGAACTGATGACATGGGAAAGAGAGAGGAAGAGAGGAGCAAAGGCCTCTACTTGATGAGGTGAGAGGGGATGGTGTCCAGCAGAGGCAAGGGCCTCGCTTCGGGTAGGGTCACAAAGGGTCATCCAAAGTCAGAAGAGAGAAGGCGGTGGACGCACGTGGTGGAAGCCAGCGGAGATTCTCTCCTCTCCTCTCGGTGAGGTTGGAAGAGTAAGGGGGCAGGAGGGAGGGTGGGAAATTTAAGGGGAGAGGGGGAGGTATAACCTAGCCTGCCTGGGTGGTTGTTCCCAAACTCGAGTGTGCATCAGACTCACCTGGGGGGTCTGGTCTACCCTGCCCAGAGTTTCTGAGGTCAGGGTGGGCCTGAGAGGTTGCATCCCTAACGAGTTCCTGGGTGATGGGGAAGCTGCTGGTCTGGGGACGGCCCTTTGTGAACCGCCCTGCTGACGAGTGGGAGGGTGACCGGATTGTGGAGCGGCACCAGGGCCCATTGGAGGTTAGAAATCCGGGATGCAAAGTGAATCCATGCAGTGCCTTTCTCATCAGGTTCACAGTCGCTGTGTCTTTAAGGCTTTCATTCTCTACCGACTTGCCCTGAGATAATAGTCTCCCAATTCTTCTCCTTTAAAAAAGGAAAAGCTTTAACTTAGGCTCAGCTCTCTCCTCTTCCCTGCTCGATTTCCCTTTAGTACATCCCCTGCTGGCTCACTCCAGTGGGCCTGTTTGTCACTACTGATTACTTGACCTCTTGCCAATTTCCACACCTCCACCCGTTTTCTCTTCCAGTCCTCTTCTCTAGGTTTTGTGACACAGTGTGTTTCCGGTTTTCCTCCTCACAGCTCCTTCTCCGTGTCCTCCGGAGCTCCTTCACCCTCTCGCTTTCCAGTCTAGCCTGTAGCATGGTGGTGGTTATATGCGCAGATTGTAGATTTCCTGGGATAATTTCTGATCCCTCTGCTTATACTAGTTGTGAGGTCTGAAACATCTATATCTGTTTCTTTGTATGTTAAAAAATTGGGGCTAGTAGTAGTGCCTGCCTTACAGAGTCGATTCAAGGATTAAATGAGTTGACATGCATGAAAAACCTATAGCAATGCCTGGTGTATAGTGAGTGCATAAGATCACACTGATGTACTGCTTGGTTGGGCTGATGATACCCAACTCTGTATTTGCAGGCAGACCTCACTTCCGAGCACTGGTTGTGATTACCAGCTGCCTCCTGCCACACCCTTGGATGCCCATCAGCATCTCAAACTCAGCATGTGCCAACCTTAAACTCATCATTTCCATTCAGTTTGCCCCACTTTCTTTATTCCCCACATCTAGGAATGGCAACATCGTCTTTCCAAGTTCCTAGCCAGAAATGTGCTAGTTCCCAGCTTTTCTCTTCCCTTCTTACAGAGGTGTTATCAGTCTACAAACTCAGATACCCAGGAAACATAACATTATTTTTCTGTAATGTACCCACATTTCTAATGGGAGCCGGCTCCTATCCTACCAGGGTTGGGGACATTCAGTCAGTTGATGGACTTGTCCTTCCTT